CCCCCCCCCCCCCCCCCGTCGCCAAAAAATTTTCGGTCAGTGTACCATTTTAGGGGTAAAAATTTTTCCGGACGAGTACGTTGCAATTGCTTCCAGGGACTTTATCTCATTTTTTATGCCAAATTTTGGTACTTAACCGAAGAAAACAGATATCTTGTCCTTCGCGCGGAAATATTTAACACACAAAAAACACTGTGGCCAAACAAAAATTTTTCAGGGCCCCCCCCAGCACCTCGGGGCAATTTGTCCCCCTAGCCCCCCCCCCCTCTCTGCGGCCCTGGCCGTAGGAACGACTTGATAATAACTCTTCTGAGTCAACTTTACCAACGATTCTAAATATGTTCTTCTAAGTGTTTTCCAATTGCAAATTGTTATAACATCATTTGTGGGTGTGTTCCAGTCCAGGCAGAAAATGATTTTTGCTGCTCGCACATGCATCTTTTCAAGGTCATTGAACAGACTCTTGTTATATGATCCCCATAGAATAATGCCATAAGTTATCGACGGGAGTATAACTTAATTGTAAAAGTCCATCCTAGCTTTCTTTGGTAGGAAATACAGAGATTTCAGAAGATTGATTTTCTGAGAGGATTTTATTGTATTCAAGACATGTTTGGACCACTTCATTTCGTCGTCCAACTCCATCCCTAAGCATCTTGTCGACTGTACTTGTTTGATTATATAAGTCCCTAATTTTATTGCCCTCACAGAACCTATAAATGATTTTCCCTTCATTAACATGAATTCCGTCTTTCCTGGATAGGGTGAAAGTGAATTATTACTACACCAATCCCAAAATTGGCGTAAAATCTCGTTTAATCTCGATGTTACAATGTCTACTGTTGGTCCTACGACATAAATGGTTGTATCGTCCACAAATACTTCTGTTTCTGCGACTTCTTCTCCTTCTGTTATATTTAGCATATCATTAATGAATAACGTGAAAAGGTTGGGTCCGAGCACAGAACCCTGTGGTACTCCAAATTCTACGTCCATTAACTCAGACTCGTAGCCATTGACAGTTGTTACTTGTCTTCTATTTGAAAGATAATCCTTGATCCAAAGCCATATGTCTCCGGAGATACCCATTCCTTGAAGTTTAAAAAAGAGCAAAGGATGCGAAATAGAGTCAAAAGCCTTTTTTAGGTCCACAAACACTACACCAACTATTCCTCTATTATCCAAAACGCGTCTCCAATGCTCTGTCATTTTTATCAATAATAATTGGGACGAAGAACCTTTTTGTACGCCCACTGATGTTCATTGTTAATTCCTTGTTCATATACATGGGTTGTTATACTTGAACATACACTTGAACAAAACAATGAAATTGGGTGATAATTAGTTCTCTCTGTTTCTTCCTCTTTCTTATGAATAGCACATATTCTTGCCTTTTTCCACATGTCAGGAACGATAGACATTGTTACGCTTGATTTAAAAATGGATAATAAAGACGGAACTATGGCCTCTCCCGCTATCTTTAACAGATTTGCCGAAACCTGATCGGGACCACAGGCTAATGTTGATCATTCTTTGGGTTTGGAGTGAAGGGTCACGCTTAAAATCACAAGAAACTTAAAGGATAATTATAATAACCACACAGTATGGCCAAGGTCCCACGGATGAATTATCGGTAGGATTATTATACGTACACAGAGCCGGAGGTATAAGGACAAGTCAAAATATACAGTATTGTGAAAGATTAAGAATACATTGCTAAGAAATAATTTATTATATATACGGTATATATGTTTGACTTTTACCGGGATGGCAGTATTTAAAGCCCTATACAGCCTTTAATCCAGCTAAAAGGCTATATGGAACGGTACAACATATCTGATCGATATTGAGCTAGGAACGACGAAAGCCTTCTGTGAGGGAAACAAATTACTAATCTGATGAATATCTATTCGAGTTTAAACAGTACTTGAATCAGTAAAAGCGCGACTAAGTAGATTTCCAAGCTGTTGTAACTTATTGATAAAATGCATGCCTAATTTCTCAGTACTCAATCGAGCTTTGTTTCAATTTATTGGAGTAATTTCGCGGACTGCACTTTATTTTATACGGGTATCAAACTCATATAGCAACTTTATCCAGATTCAAATTACCGTGCATGCATGATCTGTTCCATAAACGAAACATTAAAGCTTGCGCGAGAGAAATTATCATTCAATGTCAATTATCATTGACAACCTTAAACATGAGCCGGGCCATAATATGTTTTCGCCTTTCTTCCAAGCTTTTCCACCCTAATTGATCAAGGGCCAGTTAAGATTGCCCAGGCTCATCTTTCATCATCAGGCCACTATATCGGAAATATTTTCTGCCATACACGGTATTTGGTCGTGGCAGAAAGAGAGACGAAGTTGAACCTCGTAAATTATAACTGTGGATATGGTTAGAATTCTGGAACATTGATGAGAACCTCGTCGGTGCCATATTATTGACAACCTTAAACATGAGCCGGGCCATAATATGTTTTCGCCTTTCTTCCAAGCTTTTCCACCCCAATTGATCAAGAGCCAGTTAAGATTATCCAGGCCCATCTTTAAAGTTCATTATAATTCTAGCACATAGTTGTTCAGACTGCAGGCTTCTACAATGGTATTCTCCCAACATTCCCCGCGTGCATTATCACACCATAAACGCACGCGACTCGTTTTCTATTTCTTAATTAGACCTAACCAGGAACAGCTGCGAAAAATGCAACTTTTAGGTCCCTGGCAGGAATCGAACCTGCGGCCCTGCGTCAACTTTTATTTAAACGAGTGAGATGCCAACAAAATCTTGATATTTAAATATTATCAAGAGTTTTTAAATTTACTTCCAAGAATTTTCAAATTTTACCGTAATTAGATATATTTTGACAAGACTTTCCTTGCGACAATAACTTCTAATACGTAGAGTAAATACTGCGTTTTAATTGTTCTGTTCGATTTCACACTATACGGTTTCTCCAAACGAACTAACTCACCGAGCCACCGTCAATCGAACATGCACCTGTCGGTTTAATTTGATTGTGGTACAGGGAGGGGGGGGGGGTGATGTGGGGGGCTACATTGTAATTCCTTTATACTAAACAAATAATGAATGTTTATAAGTGCAATGGTAAAAATATTTTCATTTGGTGAAAGATGGAATTTTCCATTCCACGAGGCGACATGTCTTATATAACACCAAAATAAATCAATGTTATCGATTTTTTAACGAGACGTTACTGCAATTTGTATTACATGTGGCCAATGCATATTCCATAATTATTTCCAGGAAGCGTTCCGCTGATCACAGACGTAAAAAAACTAAACGTCATGAACGTCACTGCAATTAATGTAATGCCTATATTGCTCCTATGGCTGTATCGAGACACACATAAGCATAGGTGAGTATCATCACGAAATATATTAGCCTTTAATGATATATTTGACAGGAAAACCAACTTCTGTGGTACATATATACATTAACTCACTTTGTAAGTCATCACGTACGAGATTATTACATTAATAGTTATAACATGCATACTTCATATTAAGAAATAATATTAATTTAATTTCTTCTATGTCAACATAAATTAAATTGTTTTTAACACCAAAGCACATTTTAAGAAGCCAGCTTACAATATATTAAGCCACTTACAGGTTTCTTGAGAACCTATAAAGATCTCAACTAACAAGGAATGAAACAAGCAGTGAAATAAGAAATACAACGAAAGCAAACCCTAGGAAAAAGATCCCAGCCAACTGTTTTTCAGAAAGTTTTCTGAGTTGTGAATGGTTTTCTCTGGAAGCTTGGTTTCCTAGCGCGATAGGTGCAATTTGCGTTACTTCAGAAGGAATAGTCAACGATAAAACAACAGAAAAAGGACTTTGAATTTTTGCTCCGTTTTCCACTGTCCGTACAGCACAAACCTGGAAACTGTAGCTTTTCTCCGACGTCACATTACCATACACGAAGCTTGTTAGTTTCCCTTCATAAAGCTAAAAAGAAGAAATTTAAGACATTTTCACAGAATTTCACAAAAATATTGAAAATAGCTATCTGAGCAAAGTTGGTAACAAAATTGTAATTTTTGTTGCCAGACTCAAAAAATTAAAAAGCACTACCTGTTCCGAATCTCTTTTTTCTTTTTCTCTCCCGATTAAGATATATGTGATATGATCAGTTTCTTGAATAAGAGGGGCATCTTTCCAAGAAAGGGTCACAGCACTTGTGCTTAAGTTGGAACAACACAATCCTAAATTAATGAATGACAGGAAGAAATATTATAGACGTTAACTGGTCAAACGAGAGAGAGAGAGAGAGAGAGAGAGAGAGAGAGAGAGAGAGAGAGAGAGAGAGAGAGAGAGAGAGAGAGAGAGAGAGAGAGAGAGAGAGAGAGAGACAGAGAGAGAGAGAGAGAGAGAGAGAGAGAGAGAGAGAGAGAGAGAGAGAGAGAGAGAGAGAGAGAGAGAGAGAGAGAGAGAGAGAGAGAGAGAGAGAGAGAGAGAGAGAGAGAGAGAACCAATGGTCTCAATAATAAGTTGTGATAAAGAATAATACACTATGTTATCTATCTGAATAGAAATTATTCAGAAAAATTCTTGCTATGACAGTGTCACATTACAGTTCGGATATCTTATCTGCACTGATGGGTTGAAATTTCTTTCATATTTCTTTCATATATATGTATTTATACAAATCACCCCATATTGCCTAACTGCATGTAATGTCTCTTGAGTTTTACATGACTTGCGAAGCTATAATTATAATGTGAAGTTCATTATAGTAAAACGAGCGTCTAATTTCTCCAGCAGAACTTTGGTAAGGAAATGCTCGTAAAAATTAAAATTCTATATAAATGATTAAGTAACATGTTACGCTTAAAATAATTTAGCAGATATGGTGGAACTATCCTAAGAGGCATTTCTTTACAAGCTAGTATATAACAGTCAGTATACGCATTTCGCCCACCAATGAGAGGAAGCCTTCTTAATAAATCACCGTTCTCAAGTCTTGGCATATATCATAGATATCTTATATACACTAGATAGCGCATCTCTTTTATTAAAAATGAAGCCAAGAATATTCCAGCGGTTACCCCCATTTGAATAGATGGCGGCCATATTGGTCGTTCCCACTTGCTAATAAATGATTAAAAACAACAATAACTTTCATCATTTGAATAGTTTAAAAACGTATTTGGCATAGGGTTAACTTAATGTTTAAGTTCCCTGTTTAAGAAATAGAAAACATACGAATCTTCTCATTTCATGGGAACGACCTGAGACTGCAATCACGGCTTCAATTTTTGAATTGCAAAATAATTAGATGCACTATCTAGTGTATTTAAGATATCTATGGCATATATGGGATAATATATTTTTCCAAAGACTGTGGCCACACCCTTGCCAAGATAATATACACTTAATGTCTGCACCCGAGGGAAATTGTTAGTTTTGTTTTCCCGAGAATCTCAATGTTTCCCGAGACGAAGTCGAGGGAAACATTGAGATTCGAGGGAAAACAAAACTAACTATTTCCCGAGGGAAAAGACGTTAAGTGTTTTGTTATATAGCGACGAAACAAATATCAACATTGAACAACATTCATACAACAATATTTGTATTTCATGACAAAAACTCTATAGCGTAAACGAGTTTAAAATTTAAAAACCTACTTAAATGGTTTCAGCAGCATATCCTGTTGCCTGTTATGTATTTTTCTTCTCTTTTACATTATTTATTTTAACACAAAGCCACGAAAACAGTAGTTTAAATAGTATAAATTTGTGCCGCCATTTTGTTTATTTAGGCCAATGAAAATTGATATCATGTTTCTCGTCCCCGCCCGCATGGGTTTTATCTGCCGCACGAAAATTTTTCATTATTCATTATTTTTGAAAAATAGGCTTAACAAAACACCAGATTGATCTCCAGATCAAAGTCTTATTGCTGCATTCCGCAAGCGCAACTTAAATTGTATCTTTTTAAAGATAATACTCGCCAGAATGCCTCTATTTTTCATGTCAGCCCTGGTATGCGTAGAAATATACTGTAGAGTAGGACGTATTAAATTAAAATGAATTATACACCGATCGGCTTACAAGCAGAATTCAAATACAAAAAATAATGAAAAATAAAAAATGAAAAAATCCCGCTCCAAATTTTTGAAAATTGTGGACGAGAAACATGATATCAATTTTCATTGGCCTTATGTACGTATAGCCGGTCGGGGCGGGCAACAATTTTTCACTTATTGCCCGGGCGGGATACAATGCATTTATCTAAAGCCACGTGACTACAAATCAGCCAATCACGTTTGGTGTTCACACTAGCTATATAACAATGAACTTTATGCCTTCGTAAAGCACTTAATCTAACTGATATATAAGGTGTTCAACGTCTTCGTTAAAAGACAAAATGTTCGACGATGCCTTAATGTCTTGACATCATTGCATGCAAATTTCATTGTCAGATTTATTTAGCAGCGTAGTCATCACTAATGGCATGTTATTTAATGTATCGAGAATGTATCTAGAACCTAAAGAACTCATGAAGCATTAACTTACCAAAACACTAATGGGAATAGTACTGCATGTAACCGCTAGCTTAACAAAAATGCGTAATTACCTTTTATTACAGCCGGAGGTTGTATAGCAGTCTTGCAACTCATGATCTTTGAGTACGGGCCATAACCAGCTTCATTTGCCGCACGAATTCGAAAATTGTACGTGGTTTGCTCTTGGAGTTTACTAACTTTCTGCGATGTCGTTGAGCTTTTAAAGACTGTCTCAAAACTATATTCAAAGATCATTATAGTTTTAGATTCCTTCATTAATCAATATGTATGGGACTTTACAATTGTTCTAGATTGTTTTGAATTATTTAAGCGAATGTTGGGGTATGGTTTGAAAACTCAATTTTCAATAATTACACAACGTCACATCACAACAACACAAAGAAATTCAAATATTTGATAATAAAAAAAAAATCAAATAATAACCTGGATAACAAGAATGGAACTCTATGTTGACATGCATTCATTCTAAAATAACTATATGAAGTGTATTTAAAAAAGTTCTTGTACTTTAATTCACTTGCAATTTGGTTGTTTTTGGATCAGTTTTATTTGGTTGTCCAGCAGTTACGTCATTAATTATTTAGGTAAAATAGACCTTGTGTAAACTAGCATTAGCTAACTAAGGATCTAATTAAATACAAATACAAATGATTTGAAAACGAAATGATAGCTATATGTGATGTAAAAAATTACCAGCTGCTTTTGTTGTACATCAAAGAAGATCAATTAAATTAGGGCAAAATCGCGTTGCATAATGCATTCCAGTTAAAATGTGTAAGTTTAAGTCTTTCTTTATTTTATATAAGTTCTAATTGCACCAACAATTAAGCACATTAAATCATAGAGTATAACATTTATATGGATTTAAACTTTTCCGCGTGCGTATACCTGTATATATGTATGAAAAACGCTTAAGTAGAATGTAGTCCTATTTAACAAATAGATAAGATTTTCCCGTTGTCTCTTCAGTTATACATACACGCAGGGCCGCAGAGAGGGGGGGGGGGCAGGGGGGGATTACCCCGGGCCCCGAGGTGCTGGGGGCCCTGAAAATTTTTTGTTGGGCCCCAGTCTTTTTTGTGTGTTAAATATTTCCGCGCAAAGGACAAGATATCTGTTTTCTTGGGCTAAGTACCGAAATTTAAATTTGACATAAAAAAATGAGATAAAGTCCCTGGAAAGCAATTGCAACGTACTCGTCCGGAAAATTTTTTTACTCCGGAAAAAAATTTTTACCCCTAAAATGGTACACAAACCGAAAATTTTTGGCGACGGGGGGGGGGGGCGGAGGTTGTTCTGAAAAATTTTTTAGATAGGAGGGCCCCCCCAAAAAAAATTGCCCCGGGCCCCCGCCAACCTCTCGGCGGCCCTGCATACACGGTATGACGTCATAATGTGGGAAGAACAAAAAAGTGGCACGAGTCGCCGAGGCGAGTGGATCACTTTTCTGTTCTTGCCACATGATGTCATACTGTGTATCTATAACTGAACAGACAACGGAAAATTCTTATCTATTTGTTTTCTATAATAAAAAGAAAACCCCGAATTAAACAGGTAAATAGCTTGCTTTTTATCCACCCAAACATTTGGAAATTTGAAAAAGTCGAAATTTTACAAATATCACGCGTACATGATCCACGCATCATGATGTGACATAATCCCGTGCGTCTGTCCTCTAATAGATCATGGCTCTCGACCAATGAAAGCACTTGAATTCTTAACGTTATTATATAAATAAGTATACTGCATACCTGGTTTCGTTACATTTCATCTGCAATTCATATGTTAACTCACTAGCTTCACTTTGTGGGCGAAGAAATGACCAACGAAGTTTGACACTTTGGTAAGAGCTGTTTGCCATATCTAGGACAGGTGCATCGGGAGGAATCTTTCCTGTTGTTCCGGTGACGTTACAACTGAAAGGCAAATGGAATGGAAAGTAAACAAACATTTACTTTCAATGTTTAAGAAGGGCAATATGAAAATGAATGCTAAATAAATGAATATGCAGAAAATCCAAACTATTCCAGGCAAAAAACTCCCAGACCTATACTACTATATAGCAGTTCGGTCACTGTACAACGAACTGCCTTCGCGTGCATGATATCAAGAAAATCGAGGACAGACGATTTTGAGAAAAGGCCATACGAAACAGTGCTTCCACAGCTGCTTGTTCAAAAATCCTTTCATAATCTCAAGAATTCCTTTCCCCCACATTTCCCTGCCACCCAAACGGTGGAAAAAATCAAGAAGGTAACTAATTATGAGCTCTCAATTGATGGCTTTCCATTGAAGCGTGTAACTGGTTATTGTTACCTTGGTATTACTTTAAATGCAAATTTGTCTTGGCATTCACATGTTGATAATGTAGCAATGAAAGTGGGCAGAAGAATTGGCATGTTACGTCGACTACGGAACAACCTGACCCTAAATGCGGCGGCAACGGTTTATAAGTCGTTCATTCGCCCTCTTATGGAGTATGGGGACAGTATTTGGACGTGCTGTGGTGAGCAAAACAAAGGAATGCTCGAGATACTCCAAACGTGTGCTGCCAGAGAGATTTCCAGGTACCCGCGAAGTGATGACGCAATGGAAAGCCTCAGATGGGACAGCTTAGAATCAAGAAGAGACGTACAAGTTCTCAAACTGGTTAAAAAATGTATTCTAGGAAAATGTCCACAATTTTTTAATAATTATTTCGTTTTTAATCGTGACAGTTCCTCGCGAATAACAAGACAATCAGACAAACTTCGTTTGCCTAAAGTAAGAACTGAATGTGCAAAGAATTCTTTTTATTATTATGGATGCAAGGTTTTTAATAAGTCTAATTAAGTCGATCGGGACATATAGATAGTTAGTTTATTGTAGGGATTTTAGATAATTTTATACTATTTTAGATAAAACTGTATTGAAGATATACTGTATATTTTTCAGGGCCCCTAAGGATAACAGTGAACATTCACTGATTGGGTCACCCTGTGTAAATAAAGATCTTACATTACATTACAAAATTCAGGCAAATTTGAGGCAAATGTATCATAGGCCCTACGAGAAATCGAGTATGGTTAAGGTCATAAATGACATTTCCTGAAAATTTGGACAAGCTTTCAAGAGTTCCCTCTACGAAAGTATCAGCTCCACATACATTATGTTTATCCAGGGCGTAGGGTGCTTGATAATGGTGGAGGGGTCGAATGGCACTGGCACAAGGCGCTGAACGCCAAATTGTGAAATTTATAGTCTCTAGATCGCCGGAAATGGTATTTTCAGATTCTTCCGTACCTCTCTTGTTAGCCCTATACTATATATAAGTTCATTTTTACTGGTTTAAGTGGTTTTAGACTTGTAACTGGTATAAGTTACAGAAATCCTTGCAATTTCCTTTAATTTTTGTATTTTTCCTTGCCATTTCCTTGTAAAACTCATTTTCTTGCATATTCCTTGCAAGGACCAATATTTTCTTGCTGCAGGGAAAATCCTTGCAAGTGGAAGCACTGATACAAAATAACCATTTTAATCCATTTTAGTTATTATAATATGCAGGTTATTTTGCGTTGAATCAATACATCTTACCTGAATGTTCCACAACCAGACTTGTTGACACCTTGTATACGTAATCTATATGGTTAGAGTGAAGGAGAATGAACAACAGCACACTCCAGAAAGCTAATATAACAACCCATCCAGGTTAAAACAATCTTTGGTGTGTTACACACACCCAAATGTTACCATTTATTCGGTTTTCTACAATGACATTTAGTTTGATTATAAATAGTTGCCTTTTATAGGCTATAGCACTTTCAATCATTGTATCATGAATATCAAAGAAAACGAAACAAAACAATTACTTGAATATTAATTATGCGAAGCCCTGTGCGAAATACAAATGAGTTCTATTATACATGCACCAAACTTGATCGATTGCATGAAATCTGTATAAACTACTCCAATGTTTGGTATATCATCAGTTTCACCATTTACCTGTATTGTGTGTTTGGTTGCAAATCTAAAATGGTGTACGTCAATGTGTCCCCATCAGCAGTATTGTCAGTATTATCATTTTCAAACATATCTGGTACATATGACAGCACTTTACGTCCACTGACGTCAATATTATATGAGAGAATAGCAGCTCCATTGTGGTATGGTTTTTTCCATTCAATGGTCAGTGACGTTTCTGACCGACTAATCTGGTGGGAAGTAAATGGGAAGGCAAATGAGTTATTCAAAGAGGTCGCATACAACCGGCTTATGTAAGTTGGGTTAACTTTGTAATTAAACACATATTTATAGTCAACTTTGTAATTAAACACACATATCAATTACACAAATAAGTAATTATATCCTTTAGAACTGAGAATGAATGTCAGCGAACAAAATGTCTCTTTCTAGATAAACCATTCTGCATGAAGAGACAATGAAGAGGAATTCCTTTCTATTGTCTACGATTGTTCTCCAACAATTTATTCATTCTTCTGCTTCCTCTATTAATGTAAAAATCGTCATGCCAAACAGAAAATAATATTTATAAATGCCCCAGTGGCCAGTGTATTTACTGCCAGGGAAGGGATTTGAATGAAACAGCCCTATATTAACAGGTTTTCCGCACTAAGCACCATATTGAGATAGAAAACAATCTATTGTTGTTTGTTGTTTAAAATACAATTTTCTCACCAGTTTTATGCTATCAACTTGTGCTGGAGGAGCGGCAGAAGTTTGACATGAGGATACACCACTCCAGTCACTGCACCCTGCAACACTACACGCCTAAAAGAACGAAAGAGAATTCAATATCCATGAGTACGTTCATGTCCTTCCTAGTCCTTCCCCGCCTAGGATATTTTTCATATCAGACTCGGGCCTCAGTTAAGGTTAACTTAGTAATAATTTTAATTGGTTAAAAAGTGAAGATGTTTATAATATTTTCACTAGAAATGATACTTGAAATAACAGGAAATAACTTCACAGTCTAACATCGGTAAACATATATGGTTGTAAAAGCCTCGCTCACAAAGTTCAAAGTCAAAGGAGAACCCCATTTACAAACAAGCATTAAAATTTTGAAAATAATGTCGCCAGCCTTTCTATATGATCATTTAAAGTAAAATTATCATAGACACTCCTACTTTTTTAGCCTTATTAAATCATCCCCGAGCCAACGACTGCATGACGACTGCATGACGACAGCGAAATAGCAAACATTTCTTGATTTGATCAAAGTTTGACGATTTCTTGCAAATACATTTCATTTTTGCAAAATTTTGTGAATTTCAAAGCTTTTTGATAAAATAAAGGAGAAAGAATTGTTAAAAGAACGGCGTAAAGGCGCCGATGTTAACGAAGGTAAGTTTGTTTTAAATATTGAGGCATTGTTTGCCTTATAATTGCTTTAAAAGCCGATCGTTGCGTATGATGAAACAAGATACTGCCACAGAGAAGAGATATCTCTTCTCTGTGATACTGTAGCATATAATTTCAGTGTATTTTTATGGTTACCCTTTTTTATTATATTGAATTTTTTAAATAAAAAAGAAAGGAAAGTTATTTGCATGCGAGAATTTGAAATCATTTTATTTCAAATCCAAGTTTATCGATAAAGGCAGTTTAGTTTAAAACATTTTGCGAAGCGTTTGTGGTTGAATTTTACCTTAAATTGAAGCTTATATTACGTATAATAACATACCTAACATATATATGTTTGGGAAATTGATAAATTTGTAATTAAAAACGATATTTTTAGGAGATTTTTCATTTTGGAAAAATATTCTTAAAAAATTATCGTGTTACTTTGACAACTACAGTACTTTAAATACTTCATGTTCGTAAAATACAATGGTTTTGTCAGCAGGGCGAGGGGTTTGTGCATGCATGTATTTTCTAGTTTTTAACCTGAAAAGAAGGCATGATCCAGTATCTGGCCGCGGATATTTCTATCTATCTGGCCGGATATGATCCCTAATAAATTTTGTAAATATTTTTTTAACAAACCGTGTAATTTTACCTGAACTCTAAAGAAATATATTGTTGAAGGCAAAATATTCTTCTTCATCTCGTATTTATTCATAGCTCCTTCATATAACTGCAACGAAAGCAAACCTCATTGACTATTAAGTTTAGCGTTGGTTTTCTGCGGCATACGTACGGTCATTTAAAATCCATGATTAGTTCTTCTCACTTCACAATCTGCGGTTCTGCCGTGGTTCACCACGATGTTTAATTCAGAATGTTTAGGTGCGTGTGAAGTTGTTCGTCAAAATTAGATTTTGGCAAAAAGTGTTGGCGCTTATATTTTCGTATTTTATATTACTTTATGTATATGAAATGGGTTGCTGTTATTGTTTTTTTTCTCACTAATTTGATACATGTGAGAATGTATATTTTTGGGGACAATTAAGCTAGCTGAATACTTGTGGTTGATACACCAAGAATACATTAGTCTAGATTTATATCTAACAGCTCTGGCGTGTGTAAAGGTCGACCGCAAAAAAATCGTGACAAAACCGCAAAATACAGCCAGCGCGTAGATCGAGATAGGCTTTTCTGAGCGGAACTGTGTACAATGAGAATTCTTATTTGAAAACGTGATGCATATGACATTCAGCATATACCTTTTCAAATGGTCCATTTGGATCTTTCGCGTATTTCAGCACGTAACTCGTAACTGGAGTGCCGTTCGTTTTCGGAACCTTAGTATAAACAACAATATTAGTCAAGGAAATATAGTAACATTTGAATTTGTAAATTATAGTATTATATAATATAATATAATGCTTTTCTCGTTTGCTTTTGCAAAAAAATGATATAAGTAGGATACCCTAAAATAATGTAAAATGGTTAACAAAAATATGTTTCGACGTCATGCTAAAAAAGGCCTGGAACCAAAGTTGACGTTAGAGCAGAAATAACGCAACAAAGCACTGGGAAATACAATTTACAGATTTTTGTATTTAGTTATTTGTTTCATACTAGACTGATTTGATTAATGTTATCATATAGAATTAATATCGTAGCGAACTGAACTGGTTTGCTTCATACCGCATATTAAATTAAGTACTGTTGTTGTAGTGTACATTGACATTGTGTGCGTGGGTGCAAGTTCCAGCATGGCCGGATACTTGTTGTTGTTTTTCTCTGAGATAATTTCGTCTTGAGATAATACAAAGTTAATCTCTCGTAATCCTTTTTGTAGTATATTCTATTTTACTAACTACCACACAATTATATAAAATGTTTAATTATGGGTGACATTAGACATACTGTATATGCTATTATACTACTTACCTTCCAAGATATGTGGATTGCACTTGACGAGCGACAAGCAACAACTACTTGCTCCACAGTATCTGGCGGGCCAGGACCAGTGCTCAAACATGAAATTTCAGAAAACTTGCTTTCCTAATTTGATAATAGATATTGTACTAAATAAAATAGAGTGTGAGCTAAAGTGTGGAATAGAACAATGAAGTTTGTCAGCTTTTTACTATCATGCAGAAAAACAGCTATTAAATATCATGCAGAAAAAAATATTTAACTGCTGAACAAGTTCTGTATCGTACGGTCCAGTCAATTGCTATAATTGTGTATTACGAAGTTACGTAATTTTCATTATACATAGTATGCAATGGCCATTTTTTGTGGATAGATCAATGTATCAATGTGGATAGATCAATGAATAGATCAATGTAAACTTAATTTGTTTGACTTGAAATTCATCATGTTGTACCACTGACACCTCTATAGGATATGACCATCCAGATATTTGCTAGCATCCGAGTGAAAATTCTATTTCCAGTATGAGACATGGACTTGCCTGCATAATGGTGGGTGAGAAAGAAAAGGTAAGACGGAAAGGGGGGACGTATCAACAGTAGCGAGGGGACTTAACATAAGAGGGACCACATTAATTAGCCTCTCTCTCCAATATTTTGATCACTAACAAGCTTGAACCACATGGCAAGTTCCTGGGAATCCACATTACCCTCACACTTTGGCAGGCCTGATGGTGCTGATCAGGCTGAAATTGAACGCATTTCTAGTTTTAAAACAATAATAACAGAATTAAAAATATACTTACGCCGGCTATATTTTTAGCTCGTACACGAAATAGATATTTACAATTTGGTTGAAGGTCAGCAGCATAGCAACATGTTTTGGAACCATAGAAAATATGGCGAAAATCTAAAAATATTTTAATTAAATCAGAAATCCACAAGATTTTGGCGACGATGGGCAGATTAAGTTGACAAACTGAAAAGAAATGCATGAAACCCAGCCACCTCGTACCCAGGCGCTTTGAATTGCCACGCCATGCATCGCGCGATCAACACGGGACGAGAAGCAGTTCGCAAGATATATCAGCTAAAATTACCACACGCACGTCGACACGCGACCGTGTAACACACCAAAGCGCCTGCGTACTAGGTTCGATGGATCGATGATAACATATTTTGTTAACTTGCTCAGATTTTAATGACTTATGATTCTACAGTCTTAAACGATCTTTAATAATTCCTTTGGGAAATTTGAAATTTAAAACTACTCTATATTGACAGCATTGCAGTAAATTCTACTTGTGAAATTCGTGAATACTGTCTTAATGAGCATTGTACCAAATTTGAATTGTTATTTCATATGTATACCCTTGTAAATTCCCATACAAATATACACTGGTTGTAAATCAGTGAGGCTGGGGGTGGAATGGAGCATGTTTATCCAATAACAAGGATCTTAAAAAGTTCTTAAATATTCTCATCACTTTACCGTCCTCAACAGCTCCTTTCATTTGAACATTGTAATTTGCAATAATTGAACCACCATCGTAAGAGGGAGCATCTGAATAAATAAAAAACAACACGATCCTTTTTTTACATAAATGGACAATAAGATAAATCATATTCACATAACGGTCGGAAAACTATATCTAGAAAAATACAATTCCATTAGCACTTATCATACAATGATGACAAATAATTCAAACGCACTTCATGTACTATTTAAAAACGAGCAGCAGTGTCTTGTCACATTTTTATTTGGAAAATGCAATCAAAAACGTTAGTAACAACATGCCAGTCCTTTGTTAGTGGATCAGTTTATATCTGCTGTATCGCTTGTAAAAATGAGTTCAATAATTTTCAATGAGTGTATAACAAACCACTCGGAAACAATCGAAATTTGTACTGTTGCAAATAATTTTGTATGTATTTTCAGTCACAACGACTAGTTTAATTTATGTGTATCTGTTTGCAAAAACGTTAGTACTGGTCTTGCATCGTTCTTATGCAAAATCTGTTGTTTAAAATACTTATATTATGGAAATAGAATGTATCTTTGTTGGAAATAGTATGGAAATCCAATTTTCATATTGCAATTTCCCTACTATGGATATACTGTAGTAGGCAAATAGTATGGATATACTATATATGGATTTAGTGATGCAATTGCAAATTTCATGGTATGGATTTCACTATTTTTTCCAGTAAGTGTGGTATATATCAAGAGCAGTTATTAATGATGTGGAAGTTTGAGTTTGAGTAACATTTAAGATTGTAAGAACATGATAGCCAAAAGCTTGATTTACTGTATAATTGTGGAATTGAAGTTTCCAAGCTGCTAATTCTTCACATGCATATAATGAATTATAAGCATAAACCATGCTATATTTCAAAAATCAAAATTTAATCTCGTAACAAACTGATAGAAAATTCGATTCGCGATCTTTACTTATTTATTTTGCCACAAGTGGCCTAAACGACAGCAGGCAAAGATCAAATTTTGGACTAAAAATGAATTTATTAACATTTCCTTCGGTCAAAGTTTCTTTGGGGGTGGGGGTGGGGTGGGGGTGGGTTTTCGAGATATTACGCGAAATTTGTTTCACAAAAACTGTTTTATATAGAATTTTTAAAAAAATTGAGTATATTGCAATAAATGACTAGTACTTTTAAAATACAAAATTTCAGAAATATTGACCGAAGGAAAAAATGTTATTGCATTACAAACCTTGCGCGGTCAAATAAAATTTTTGCTGACGTGATAAAATTTCATCAAGTCATTTCGTTACCAGTCCCATGCTTAAACAACTGTAGGGAGCCACCTTAAGTAAATCTTATATTAGAAATATTCGCGAATTATTGTTTACATCATGAAAGAAATTCATAGACTTGCTCCAAGTCGACTTCTACTAAACTTGTTTGAAAAATGAAAACACAAGCAAGCATAAACAATCGACTTTCGGAAATTCTTCACTATTTTGCAAATTACTTCCTCAAAAATTATTTTGCGAAAGTCTATAGGAAATTTATAATTACAACTGAATCGATGTGCGAAATGATACTCTAAAACAGCAGAAAAAAACCCGACTAAACCTTACGCCTCTGTCAAAGCAACAATGAAAAAGCACCTCCTTCATTCAGATTCAAAAACATTCCTGCACTTAATTATAAAGAAAAATCATAGTTGTTGAAACTTGCAAATTATTATTATATATATTGTTTCTAGACGTTTCCTTTAGCCCTATTCTATGACTCCATGTAAATGGTAATTTGGGCGAATTATAGTAAATAATAAGATTTTAACTAAAAACAATGCAATATAGTAATAATCTTGAGATATATTTACCCCATTCGAGTTGAATGGCATAAGCTTGTGATATGCGGCTCTTCACTTGTCGTGGTGCAGAAGGTGGATCAGGAATGACTGGCAATGTTTTAATGTTCATCACTTCTGACGACTACAGAAAATAGCTCGATCACATTTATGAAATAGAAAGAAAACGTTACTTATATAGTATGCACTGCTGTATTATACTAAAACGGCGGAACTTGTTAATATGTTATCATGTTAAAACAAAATACGACCACATTCCTAACGTCGTAAAGTCGACATCTGCGCGAGGTTCAGACTGGACTTCCGCTACCGCTATCACTACTCTTAGTACGCATCTGATTGGTTAATCGGATATATCAAACGCATCTGATTGGTTACTCGTCCCTTAGAATAGAATAATTTATTTAATGCATGTCGAGTGACACAGAGTATGGTTGCCCAATCAGTCGAGCCAGGGAATCATGGTATAAGTGCTCGACAACAATACCTATTTACCAATATATAAAATATTTACATTGAATTGAAAAAGAATGAAAAGTAAGATAAATGGCGGTGAAATGGCGGACTGTGATTGGCTGAGAAGCACAATTATTTGTTATTAATAAGATATCCACGAATGGCTTTTAGTGGAAAACAAGGAATACACTGATATTTTTTGTTTTCTTCACCCGAATGTGTATACCACGCTACTAATATGCATTTCAAAACAAGCATTCCATGTTTGTTTCAAGTATAAATGCCTATAAATACCATATAATAAACTTTTTATTAACCTCGCTTGCTCGGTATGTAGAGAAATATCGGACCTATATATACTGATATATTACCTAATAATAGTTTGACATTATAACAGTTTAACATGCGTAGGAATGTAGTTTCATTCCTGAATATTTGACACGAAAACATGCATGAAACCTTTTTCCAGCGAGAGGAAGCATCCGGAAATGAAATATATAGATCTTACCGGACTTTTAAATTCGGAGGACGAGCAAGAGACACGGACTTTGTACGAATAGCCTGGCAGAAGATCTTGAACTTTGAAGCTTGTATCCACTCCCCTATACACCTCTTGAAATGAACCGCCTTAAAAATAGATACATCCATTATTATAGCATGTATATAGGTATATAGGTGAGACTATGTGAAACGTTATTTATAAAGACGCTATAACCTCGTCAACGGTTCGCTAATTTCCACGAGGGCATCCAGATATTTTGTAAATTACAAGCATATTTAAAAATTATAGGAAGAAAAGTGTCGACTTTTTGCCCTTATAACTGCTGCGTATCTTACAGAAACAGAACAGAACCTGAAACAGAACCTAGCAAAACGTTCATTACCTTGACCGCTGTTCACTTCCAGGCTATAACTGACAATCTCGCTTCCGCCGTCATCACTAGGAGCAACTGCAAAAAATACAGAAATATATAAAAGAAATAGTGGAGTAAGCTTATAAAATAGTTGAGCAGTCGTATGATCTAGGTAAGTATTTAGACTACTACTCCCAACGACGCATTGGAAAACTTTTGAAAGGGAAAAATGGAATACTTGACACATGCAATATTATGAAATCAATGTGTAAATTCTGCGAAACATTCTTAAAAATAATAATTAGTCCACATGCACTGAAGTACTTTTCATCAGTAATATAAAATTAACAATGCATCAGCAAGGATACAAGATGCACTGTAAAACACTGAAAGCAATAGAGACTAAAGTAGTAAGCGCATGCAATATCTTTCGCGTATTTAATAAAACATTGCGTAAAATGTTAACACCACAACAATTAGGAGGCAGACTAAGCCAGCTGATAATCAACATATATTACGTGCAATTTTCCCTCCGCTTGCCTTCAAGTACTACATTATTTCGTGTTTTGCATTATTCTACGGTGTAGATTGAAATTCCACGCCATTGCTCAAATTTATCGTGTCTATATATACTATATACATCTCGCTTGGACAAGCTGCACTTGGCCGATTTATTTGTGGGTGTACACTGGAAAAAATAGTGAAATTCATGCTATGGAATTTGCATACTAAATCCACAGTATGGATACTATTTTCATACTAATACTATATCCATAGTATGGAAATTGCAATTAGCTAGTATGAATATTGGATTTTCAATTAAGATCCATACTATCTCCATAGGTATAGTAAGGAATTCAGTGAAAAAAATTCCAGTGGTAGTTCAATTGTAAATATTGTTCGTTTTGATATTTTACTTTCGTTTGTATCAGTAGATTAAGTATACAAATAAGTTTTCATAACCTGCTTTCATAAGTGCAAAACATACCCGGGGCCGTATATAGCTAAACCGATAATTGGGGGAGGGGGTGCATATTCATATAATCGTGTTCTGCCCGACGGATTTCTTTTGAAAGCGATTGTTTTTACGGTGTGTGAACATGAATATATTAATATACCCCCCCCCCCATGCAATTATCGCTTCTAGCTACGGCCCTGAACATACCCCATGACACCATAAATGATTTCGTATGAACTTTTCCTTCCAGTATTGGAGGCAACATACGACCTATAAATGATTATCGACAGATACGAGAGATTGATTTAAAGAGTTTGACTTCACAAACCTATCGCCCTAAGATAAATTTATAAAGGACTATAACGGTGACACTATATAACAATTACATTACGAGCTCGAGATTTCTATGAGATTTCTAATCTATAATTGTTTTGGTAGAATCAGAGATCAAACATAAAATATTCCTCAGAAGCCATTTTTTTTTAAATACGCCAGGAAAATTGTTGTTTTGCTACTCGCTATCTATCGAGGAATAGATAGCTAGTAGAGTAGCCAATCAAATTACAGCACTTGCAATGGTATAATACTAGTATGATTCTACTAAATACGGATGTTTAGTTATCATTTTGCACTTGGTTATCACAAGGTTTACTCAAGGTACGTACGTCATTTACCAAGTATAACATTTGCTATATTTATGATATTTGCTGTGTTGGTGTAATGTACCCAGGTGAATAAGTATAGGTTATTTTAAGGCAACGAGGGGATATGTGATTTATTCACCGAGGCACGTAGCGCCGAGGTGAATAAACACATATCCCCGAGGTGCCTCAAAATAACGTACTTATTTTTCACACTGCGAGGTCGCATTAATGAATAAGGATAGAAATAATTCTTAATGTCATATTGCCTTCGTTATGTTGTTTTTTTCTCATTTTTGGTGCTGCAAAGACATTGCAGGTGAATATTAGAGGGGATTATTCTTCGTTATGTTGTTTTTTTCTCATTTTTGGTGCTGCAAAGACCATTGCAGGTGAATATTAGAGGGGATTATTAATTGCAGGTGAATATTAGAGGGGATTATTAAACGGAAATTGATTAGAGTGGAATATTGAATATATTCCCCGACAAGAACAAAGGACGGAAATTGATTAGAGTGGAATATTGAATATATTCCCCGACAAGAACAAAGGAAACCGAGCAGGGTGAAAAATAAGATGCTTTATTTTTCACCCTGCTCGGTTTCCTTTGTTCTTAGCGGGGAATATATTCAATATTCCCCTCTAATCAATTTCCGTTCTTTATTTTTCACCCTGCTCGGTTTCCTTTGTTCTTAGCGGGGAATATTTTCAAATATTCCCCTCTAATTTAATAATCCCCTCTAATATTCACCTGCAATTAATAATCCCTCTAATATTCACCTGCAATTAATAATCCCTCTAATATTCACCTGCAATTAATAATCCCCTCTAATATTCACCTGCAATGTCTTTGCAGCACAAAAAATGTGAAAAAACAACATCGCGAAGGCAATATGGCATCTTTGCAGCACAAAAAATGTGAAAAAACAACATCGCGAAGGCAATATGGCATTAAGAATTATTTCTTTTCTGACTCATTAACGCGACCTCGCAGTGTGAAAAATAAGTACGTTATTTTGAGGCACCTCGGGGATATGTGTTTATTCACCTCGGCGCTGCGCGCCTCGGTGAATAAATCACATATCCCCTCGTTGCCTTAAAATAACCTATACTTATATCACATTTGTGTCGGTTTTCTTTGATCGTCCGAGGTTTATAACTAGCTTATATACCTTGAATAAATGATTAGATTAACTTGTAGACAAAACGCGAGAATTTTTCATTAAAATTTTTTGAAAATGACAAAATATGTTAGAAAACCTCCACAAATGTGATATAAGTATAGGTTATTTTGAGGCAACGAGGGGATATGTGATTTATTGTGAATAAACACATATCCCCGAGGTGCCTCAAAATAACGTACTTATTTTTCACAATGCGAGGTCGCGTTAATGAGTCAGAATAGAAATAATTCTTAATGGCATGTTGCCTTCGTGATGTTGTTTTTTCTCATTTTTTGTGCTGCAAAGACATTGCGGGTGAATATTAGAGGGGATTATTAAACGGAAATTGATTAGAGGGGAATATTGAATATATTCCCCGATAAGAACAAAGGAAACCGAGCAGGGTGAAAAATAAGTTAGTTATAAACCTCGAAAGTCGGTTTATAACTGATATATTGCCCTCGGACTCTACGCGTCCTCGGGGGCAATATATCAGTTATAAACCTCCTATACTCGGTTTATAACTCTAACTTGCATGTGTGATGTTACTCTGAGTGTATATCCACACCGGGCATGCTTGAAAAATATGCCTTGCCACGGTGGGATTCGAACCTACGACCTTTGGAATACGAAATATCGCTTACTCGAACCGACCTAACCGCGTAGCTCAGTTGGCAGAGCGTAGGGCTAGTAATCCAAAGGTCGTAGGTTCGAATCCCACCGCGGCGAGGCATATTTTTCAAGCATGCCCGGTGTGGATGTACACTCAGAGTAACATCACACAAGCATTTGCTATATTTGTTTTGTTATCGAAAATTTACAAAACACTTGAAAAACATTTATTGGAAAGACAAATTTATTCTTATTCTATCTGAATTAAATCAGTACATTACTCTCATGCTCATCAGAAATGCTTTCACCTCGACTTTGGCTGGTGTGTCGCTATGGCGGCTACTCTTATTTCTCTGAGTGATTGTGATACTGCTGCACATACTCTTCTTGTTGCTACTCTTGCATGAGTTTCAGTTCCCATGCATTTCCTGCTGCTGCTCTTGATTCCTCTCAATCTCTTGCGCCTGTATTCTGAAAGCTCACTCATACTCAAAGAGTGGAGATGCAATCTGAGCTTCTCTTGAGTGCCAATCTGTTTTTGAATAGCGAGAGGGTGAGCAGTCAAAGAGTTAGTAACGACACTAACCCTTCAGCTATTCAAAAACTGATTGGCACTCAAGAGAAGCTCAGATTGAACCTCCACTATTTGACTGTAAGTGAGCTTTTAGAATACAGGCGTCACTGTTGCTCTAGCTCATTCTATCACAGCTACTAATATTATTGCTTCTGGCCCTGCTTCCTCGTCCGCTGGTCACAGTCGGAGCCATGCTGCTCTTGTCGCTCTTTCTTATGGAGGTCAGATGCATCAACAACTCGCATGATCCCATAGCTGCTCATAATTACACCAACTTCCGCAGATCCTATACTGTTCCTTTCTTATCTCAGTTCCTACTTCTTACTCTTTCTCCTATTACTATACTGACCAATTGTTTCGCTTCTTTTGTCCCGCATGTCAATCAACTCTTCCTCGTCACTTTCAATGTTGTCATGAATTTTTTTAAACAACGAAATGTTTATCATTTTCTGCAACTATTTTTGAACCCTTAGAAAACATTACTATATGAACGACGTTATTGCAAAGTTTGTTGAGAATTTGTTCTTGCTTCTGTTTTACTATAGCACCGTAACGCCAACCTTGATATTATATAGTTGATTTCGTAGGTCGACGTTTATCTGCATATCCCTTTCCTTTTTCCTTTGCTTTCTCGTGGGTTTTTTTGCTTCGTGGTGTCGGTTTACTCTACCTTGGAATCTCGAGGTAGCGACGGACGTTTTTCTCAAATTTCCAGTCTGTTATAATACCCTGGTTTCAGACGTTTATTTTCATTGCATGTAATATTAGAAATGGCGAAGGGAAAATACACCTCTGGTTCAAAGCAACAATTGATTGATCGTACCGCGTCAATCGGTTTATTATATTTATCTTTTGTTTTATTTAAAATAATTTGCCCTCCATCAGGTGCAGCAACAACAAAAAGGAAGTACACCGGGAGTATGTCTAATAAACTAGGGTCAGATTCTGACTCGGTTTCCTGATTGGACAATTACACAAATAATTATATTGTCACGTGTTAATTGGATGCCGTTACACGATAGTGAGGTGCTACTTGGCCCTTTCAACCAGAGGTTTGCTTTCCTTTCGTCATTCCTTAATGAAAATAAAAATCTGGAACCAGGGTACTGTTATACAAAAGCTAGGCTGGTGGGACGTTTTTTATTATTGCATTTATTATCACCAGCATGCAAAACTACAAAGAACTTTAGTTAATAATTAATTAGCCTACCTGGGGCCTGACATCCTGTTGAGAATGAAACAATGTCACTCCATTTGCTTTCTCCTTGCACGTTGATGGCAGACAACTAAACAACGTGCACGCGTAAGAATGAAATACAATTTAATTCTTTAAAATTTGCATGTTGTCTGACAGGTACAATATATTTGTAATGATAATTAGTAAGTCTGTAAAACAGTAGAAAACTACCAACTGCATGAAGATAACCAACCGTGCCAGGTAGCTTCACCACCTTGGGCAAGGGGCCAACCGTAGATAAATGTTCATATAAAGGGACCCAACTGCCCTTGTTATATTTGAAAATAATTTTCGATTCAGAACAATACATATATAGAGAATAATACATGGGAGCGCGGAAATACCGGATTTATTTCGAGTGTTAATAAAAAGTCCGTGGCAATGCGTTTTACAACAAATGATATTTTCACACGTAAAAATATCGTATTTTTACGTGTGTTTAAATAAGATTTTTCTCAGTGGCCAAAAACTCTATATAACACTTATGTTTATTTAATAAATATATTTATTATATGGACAATGGTGTTTTACTGGAAACTAAAACACTCGCGTAGAACTCATACGTCACTACATCCGGGACCAGGTGCGCGTATTTTCCGTATTTCACCCCTGTTAGTGACATACGAAGTTCTGAAAATTTCCCGCCATTTTCATTGTTGTTTTGAAAATACAAATGGTCTTTCGTTCGTATTTGAAACGAAATTAACGTTGGAAATAAAACGAAAACATTTAAAAGACATCTTGAGATATGTAAAATTTATTCAAGTTTTATGTCTGCACTATTATTTTAAAAAATATCGCTTTTACACTGGTCTTTCGCGTGCTTATTTACATGTCGTCTTTGTGAGTATTTTTGTCACTCTGAATAAGTCCATACAATAAACAGAACATTAAACGGTTGCGAGAAGATATGGATTTATGTTCTCGTGTCAAAAACAATATCTCACTCGTTCGCTGCGCTCACTCGTGAGATATTGTTTTTGCCACTCGAACATAAAATCCATATCTCTTCGCAAACCGCGTCTAATATCCTCTATATATATACATACGCTGCAAACGCATTTGAATTTGACAGTCATTAATAAATGAGGTTTATTATGTCTGATTCATAAATATCAACTTACTCTAAACTTGTATGATGTATTCCGTTTCACGTTATCTCTAACAATACACGTCTGGTCAAGTCCTCGATACACAGGTAAGAAACCATAACCCTGTTATGGACGTATATAAATATGTTTCATAATTTGGTACAATTTATTGAGAATGTACGAATCCAAAACCACGAATATTATTGTAATAAGCAGAGTACCCTATAATACATTCAATAATATATCTTATTGTAGGACTTATTGTAGGAAACGGGTGGAAAAGCAGGCAAAGCCAAGCAAAAGATTAGACTTTGTACATGTAAGATAGGTAAACTAGGTTGAGAGGCAAGTGTGACCAGTTGCATACAGTATTTAATTGATTTCGAATGTATAGGGCATGACGGATAAAATATCTGACCTGATACTCGTCATCCATTTGTAATATATACTCTGTTATTTCAGCTGTAATAACAATTTGTAAAAATATACAATCAGTCCCAGTATTTATAGCAGAAAAGGCATATTTAACCGTGAAATGGAAAATGTGGAAAATACATCTATGTACGATTGAACCAAAGCTGCACCTATAAACATGTTCTTCACTCAACGATTGCATGCATCATGATAAACTGGCTGTTGCTTGAATCAAAGAGGTGGATCAGGAGCAGATGGGGACCCAACTGCACTTAAAGCAACCTCGTTCCCAGGCTCTTCCCTCTATGGGAACGAGGTTGCACTTGACGTATTCTAAATAAAACTCAGTATACGGAATAAATTCATGGTCCAGTTTGAAAAATGAATATTCATAAGCGTATAACTGCGTGGAAAAGCTAAGGTTGGGAAGATATCGTAAATCAAAGTTGTAGCTAGAACCACGTTCAATTGATAATAGCGTTAAAATACCATAAACAGCCCTCCAAAATGGTCCCATCATTCTATGCAACGTTAAGGCCTCAATGTTAGCATAAAAAATGGTGCATAACACAATGTAAAAGCCAGAAAGTTAAATATTTTTATTCTTGCTGGGCTGATGGATAAATTAAAAAAAAGAAGAAAAAAAGCATAATTACAGCATCCTCGCCCAGCATGAGCTGCTTCATGAACGTACAGTATATAATAATTAAGTACAGTAATACTGCTTACAAACAATTGTGCATTTTATTCAGACCCTTACAGGAAGTATTACTTAACACGTACCGCCATTAGTATTGGGTTTTTTCCAGGAAAGCTGTAATGAACTAGCAGATGCTTGAACCAAAGATGGTGGATCAGGAGTAGATGGGACCCCAGCACTTGAAGTGTAGTGAAGTTCTGGACTAAATTCACTAAAATATAAGGACACTTTTAAACTCAATGCAATAATAATCGCTGTGCAGTGCTTAGGTGCATAGTCTGCTCCTTGGGCACGTTGTGACACAGGAGACACGACGAGTCGTGCCACTTTTCTTGTTCGCGTAAGTCGTCCAGAGAAACACAACCGTTGAAATTTTCACATTTCACAAGCTATAACATCATTAGCCTCCGTGTTATATATAGTATCAGACACACAACCTCTCGCCCTCGGCTCGAGTTTGCATTTTTGATACACCATGCACGGCCACTTTTGCTGTATACATTACCTAAAAAAGTCATTGCCTGCATGCCCACATAGAAAACAATTGCACAACTTTTATACGCATGCAATTATAACAAAGAAATTATATATTCTGATTAACACAATTCCTGCTAAGATAAAATAACTGACGCGACTTGCGATTGTCAAGTGCATAAATAAGAAATTATTTAATGACGTTTTTGTCACATCATATCCTATTACCTACAGTCGTAGGTTGAGGCTGATAACACATGCCTGCATGTATTATAAAACTCAGTATTTGCTTCAAAAAACAAAACCATCAATGTTTCTACTTCTCTGTAAAGCTATTGTGTGCTCTAAACTAGATAAAGATTGAAATTTTTATTCCCCAAACCTGTTTCAATCAGAATATGACACTATCCTTCGAAATGTTTTAACTTTTATACCAGCTGTACTTTAACGTACCTTTCACCAATTTTGTTTATTGCTTTAACACGGAAGCGATATGTCGTTTTCGGTGGAAATTTATGATTAAACTTATACTGTTTATTTCGACCATCATATATTTCCTCAAACTGTCCATCACTCTCTCCTTTATCCCATTGCAGAATGTATGACGTAACTGGTGATCCATTATCGCTTTTAATCTGTATGTTTAAAACCAAAAGCAGAGGATGAGGAGGATGTAATAAATTCCAATAAGGCAAAAAAATGCATACTGTATAAATCATATATATATATATATATATATATATATATATATATATATATATATATATATATATATATATATATATATATATATATATATATATATATATATATATATATATAGATAGATAGATAGATACATATATATAGTTTTTCGTTTTACCTCAAAAAACCACACCCTGTATATATATTTTAAGAATTCATTAATAATTCACGAGGAACTACTTAAAAGAAATGAATGTTTAATCAATGTTTGTAAATCGGATAAAGATTTGTCCTGATTTACATAAACTTCAGCTTTGATTTTCTCGGCTTAGACAATGTTTATTTTTAAAATTATTTCGCCATGAACTCATAAGATGGGTCATTTTTTAAGTACGATAAAACATTCGCATCCGATCTGTATCTGATATACAAACTCTCGCCTTCGGCTCGAATTTGTATATCAGATACAGATCGGCTGCTCGTGTTTTATCTATACATACATATATATATATATATATATATATATATATATATATATATATATATATATATATATATATATATATATATATATATATATATATATATATCAGTGGCGTAACTACTATGGGCTCAGACCGGGTGAACCCGGGGGCCCCCAACCCAAATGGGGGCCCCCAGGCTTAGGCGATAGGGCAAAAACATTGACCAGGGCCTCTGATATGTTACAATGTCGTTTTATGACCATCAGAATTCTGTAAAATCTCTCCCCAAAGTCCAGGAAATGGCATTTCAGAGAGTCTAGATTAAAAAAATTTCGGGATGACCATGCCCTGGACCCCCTAGAAAACTCGTGCATATACGGCGCTCGACTCGTGCCTTTGGCACTTCTACTAGGGGGGCCTTCGAAAATTTTGAACCGGGGGCCCCTTGATATAACGTTACGCCACTGACAGTCATTAGTTCCTAGAGTTCGCACACTTTTATGTCACCTAATCAATCTTCTACGAGACTCTATAAGCGCTACTGCCAGTAGCCTACTGGAAGTCTATACCCACCCCCGGGAATGTCAGTTAGATTTGCAGTGGTGGTTGAACTTTTTGCCATCCTGGAATGGGGTTTATTTTTTCGATCTTCCCGTGTGGGCTCCCTTAGCTGTTTTGAACTTTCCAGCGATGCTTCAGCCGGGGAGGAAGGGTTTTGGTGTCTACAATGATGGCGCTTGTCGCTTGACTTTAGAAAACTTGGCTATACCAGCTCAACAACCACTTGACATAGCATATAAAGACCTTTATCCAATCTTCCTTGCATGCCACATCTGGAGCGGCGCCCCTTTTGGTTAAATAAGCATGTGTTAACCAGAGTGTTGTGCAATTTACAATCTGGGACTTCAAAAGACGACAAAATCATGCATTTGGTACGCATCCTTTCTTGGTTACATGTAAGTTGAATTTTCGCGTTTGTGCTGTACATATTCCCGGTAAAACAAACAAGATTGCTGACTCCCTTTCACGTTTCATTTTACAGGAGTTTTTCCATCTCGCTCCCGATGTTAATCCCGCACCAGTGGACATACCGGAGAATTTGCTAGCACATCTGAAATGCAATCTTTGAAGGATTATATACAAACTCCGTGTTATTTCATTGTCTTGCTATTCTGCTCGTAAAACATACTCAGCTTCTCAACGCCGGTTTTTGGAGCTTTGTTTTCTGGACTTATTCACGACATCACAACGGCTAACCTTTACCAAAAATACTATATAAATACTCGGATGCGTTATTGTGGGCAGTTTGTTTGACAGGCTCGACAAATCACGATCTGTTTGTCGTGATTGACAAATCACGAAAACTTCTTCTTCACTACTAATCAAGTTTATACATTTTCCACGACATTCACGACAAATTCCTCTCACTTTGATATCAACAGCAATTTGTCTTGAACGATATCCAGGTCGATAAGCATATAGCCCTACGGTGGTGGTGATAAACATCAAGGCCTCGAAAACATTTCGCCAGGGTCTTTTTTAAGGATTTTCCCGTGGGGGGGGGGGCATTTTTTGAAAAGCGACTTGTCTGTGATATAATATATTAGAGGGGGATAGCAATGACTGAAGGCTACGTATGTCACCAATATACCACTCATGAATGGGGGGGGGGG